TTTTTCAAGGCGTGGATTTTAAAAAAAAAATATTTTTTTCAAGGCGAGGATTTAAAAAAAAAATATTTTTTCAAGGCTTGGATTTTTTTAAAAAAAATATTTTTTCAAGGCTTGGATTTTTAAAAAATATATTTTTTCAAGGCTTGGATTTTTAAAAAAAATATTTTTTCAAGGCTTGGATTTTTTAAAAAAATATTTTTCCAAGGCGTGGATTTTTAAAAAATATTTTTTCAAGGCTTGGATTTTTTTATAAAAAAAATATTTTTTCAAGGCTTGGATTTTTAAAAAAAATATTTTTTCAAGGCTTGGATTTTTAAAAAAAAATATTTTTTCAAGGCTTGCGTTGATTTTTTTACACACAAGGCGTGGATTTTTTGGAATCCACACAAGGCGTGGATTTTTTTGGAATCCACCCAAGGCGTGGATTCTATATTTTAATCTAATTTTTTGCCACGCGATGGCCAAGATAAGAGTTTATCACTTTGTGAAAAAAAATTATTTCTTGATAATAAAAGTTTATATTTTTTATCAGTTAGCAAAAATCATAGTTTATTTTTTATGGATTTTAAAAAAAAAATATTTTTTTCAAGGCGAGGATTTAAAAAAAAAATATTTTTTCAAGGCTTGGATTTTTTTAAAAAAAATATTTTTTCAAGGCTTGGATTTTTAAAAAATATATTTTTTCAAGGCTTGGATTTTTAAAAAAAATATTTTTTCAAGGCTTGGATTTTTTAAAAAAATATTTTTCCAAGGCGTGGATTTTTAAAAAATATTTTTTCAAGGCTTGGATTTTTTTATAAAAAAATATTTTTTCAAGGCTTGGATTTTTAAAAAAAATATTTTTTCAAGGCTTGGATTTTAAAAAAAAATATTTTTTCAAGGCTTGCGTTGATTTTTTTACACACAAGGCGTGGATTTTTTGGAATCCACACAAGGCGTGGATTTTTTTGGAATCCACCCAAGGCGTGGATTCTATATTTTAATCTAATTTTTTGCCACGCGATGGCCAAGATAAGAGTTTATCACTTTGTGAAAAAAAATTATTTCTTGATAATAAAAGTTTATATTTTTTATCAGTTAGCAAAAATCAAAGTTTATTTTTTATCTTATAACCAGAATAATAAAAAATGCCTCCATGATATTGAAATTCCAAATCCTATCTAGAAAATTAGTATCATTTTTATAAAGGTATGATTTTTTTTCAATATCGAAATTTATTTATGACCTTTCAAATTGACATTTTATTTTCCTTAACGGGGGAAATAAATGTTGCTGGAAAAAATCGATATTAACCTGTCGGTTATTTTGTGTGGAAAAATTCTGGGCGTAGTTTTGACGAGTGAGAAACTTAACAGCCGACCTCTTCAAGTCACTAGAATTTCAAATATTGTCATTTGAAATTCTCTAATTAATTAATAGGACAAATATTGTATGTCAATATGACATTTAGGGTCGTCGGAATAATTGACGTGTTCGATGATGTTACAAAGCCGGACAGTTGGTATATGAAATGTGTGCAAGGCCGAAGCGAAATATTTTTTAAAAAAAATCCACGCCTTGTGTATACCTCAAAAAATATTTTTTTTTAATCCAAACCTTGTCGAGCCCTAATTTGCATTATGTGTTAATGATTGATTGGATATTGATTTTCCGATTGGCTCTTATCATGGTACATTTGTGGTTCAATCCCCCAAGAGAACAGAGGAGAATAGCGATAACGATTTTTTATATTTTTCGGAACTATTAGAAATGGTTCTCCCTCTTTCTCCTCCCGATTTGTGCTAATTTCAAAACGAGCAGATAAGAAATACCAACAAAAAAACCCATTCTATTCGGTGCCAAAAGCAGATTTCTTTGCAAATATTTCTAAACAGAAATGACGAAAAGAAATGAAATGAAACGCGAATAAAACTGGCAATGGCAAATAAATTTAAATAACCGAAACAAAAAAAAAAATGTTGGCAAATATTTGCTACTCTAAATATAAAATGACGTTTTAAATACACGAACTAAATGGCTGGTCGGATGGTTCGCCTGCTGGCAGGTGAATGCTAGCTGGCGCTGAATGCCAATGACCAAAATAGTAGCAACAACAACAGCAACAAAAGATAAAAACAATTTTTTATGACAATTTCTTTATTTAGAGTTTGATAAACCATTGAAAAATGTTTGCATGATTGTTCTTGTTGTTATTTTTTTTATTTGGGTGGGAAGATTTTTTCTTTTGTTTTTTTTTGTACTTTCTTTGAATTGAATCTAAAAAATATTTTTTCAGGGTCCTAAAGAAGGCGTGGATTTTTTAAAAATATTATTCAGGGTCCTAACCTAGGCTGGATTTTTTAAAGAATATTTTTTCGAGGCCTATATAAGGCGTAGATTTTTTTAAGAATATTTTTCTAAGGCCTATATAAGGCGTAGATTTTTTTAAGAATATTTTTCTAAGGCCTATATAAGGCGTAGATTTTTTAAAGAATATTTTTCAAGGCCTACATAAGGCGTAGATTTTTTAAAGAATATTTTTTCAAGGCCTATACAAGGCGTGGATTTTTTAAAGAATATTTTTTCAAGGCCTATACAAGGCGTAAATTTTTTAAAGAATATTTTTTCAAGGCCTATACAAGGCGTAAATTTTTTAAAGAATATTTTTTCAAGGCCTATACAAGGCGTGGAATCTTTAAAGAATATTTCTTCAATGCTCTATACAAGGCGTGGATTTTTTAAAGAATATTTTTTCAAGGCCCAAACAAGGCGTGGATTGTTTAAAGAATATTTTTCAAGGCCTATACAAGGCGTGAATTTTTTAAAGAATATTTTTTTAAGGCCTATATAAGGCGTCTGTTCGTCTGTAGATGTTAAATTGTAAACAAAATATAGGTCGCATTTATGATCCGATTTGGATGAAATTTGGCGCAAGTCACTTATTTGGCCCAAGGACGATCCCCATTGAAATTGAAGAAAATCGGGTCATATATAGATATAAGGTAAATGGGGCACCAATGTCCCTATATGTCTTCCGATTTGCACGAAATTTGGCAGAGGGTAATAAATTAGGTCAACAATGATGTGTTCTAAGTTTCGTGAAAATCGGTTCAGATTTAGATATAGCTCCTATATATATTTTCGTCCGATTTAAGGTAAATGGGGCACCAAAGTCCCTATATGTCTTTAGATTTACTCGAAATTTGGTATAGGTTACTGAATTATATCTACAATGAAGTGTGCTAAGTTTCTTGAAAATCGGTTCGGATTTAGTTATAGTTCCCATATATATTTTCGTCCGATTTAAGGTAAATGAGACACCAATGTCTCTATATATCATTCGATTTGCACTAAATTTGGCATAGGGTTCTGAATTAGGTCCAGAATTATGTGTGTTAAGTTTCGTGAAAATCGATTCAGATTTAGATATAGCTCTCATATATATTTTCATCCGATTTAAGGTAATTGGTGCATCAAAGACCCTATATATCTCTCGATTTGCACGAAATTTGGCAGAGGGTAATGAATTAGGTCATGAATGATGTGTTCTAAGTTTCGTTAAAATCGGTTCAGATTTAGATATAGCTCCCATATATTTTCGTCCGACTTAAGGTAAATGGGGCACCAAAGTCCCTATATGTCGTTCGATTTGCACGAAATTTGGCATATGGTGCTGAATTATATCTAGAATGAAGTGTGCTAAGTTTCATGAAAATCGGTTCAGATTTAGATATAGCTCCCATATATAGTTTCGTCCGATTTAAAGTTAATGGTGCACAAAAGTCCCTATATTTTTTCGATTTGCACGAAATTTGGCATAGGGTATACTGAATTACATCTAGAATGAAGTGTGCTAAGTTTCATGAAAATCGGTTCAGATTTAGATATAGCTCTCATATATTTTTTCGTCTGATTTAAGGTAAATGGGGCACCAAAGACGTCATATGTCTTTCGATTTGCACAAAATTTGGCATAGGGTTCTGGATAAGGTCCAGAATGATGTGTTCTAAGTTTAATGGAAATCGGTTCAGATTTAGATATAGTTCTCATATATATTTTCGTCCGATTTAAGTTAAATGGGCACCAATGTCGCTATATATCATTCGATTTGCACTGACCGTGTTAAAGAATATTTTTTCATGGGATATACAAGGCGTGGATTTTTTAAAGAATATTTTTTCAAGAAAATATTTTCCCGAACACCTTTTGTCTCTTCCCAAAATTATGTTCCACATTTCTTTTGCCTTTTTTTCTTTTCACCTGCTCTCCTAATTACATTTTTACATTCGACAATGCCTTTGAAGTGTAAAAAATGTTGTCTATTTTCACAACTTCAATATTTACAACCACTTGTCTTGTCATTTTTGTTTTTGCAATTTTAATTTAAATCCCCTAGCCGTGGAGGTGTCATAATATTTCATAATACACCTTTAGTCAACAACCTCTAGGACCACAGCAACAACAATTACATAACGCACACACACACACATACTCGCAAAGGTCATTTGTATTTGTGATGGACTAACGTCATGGTAATTAAAGCCAAGCTGTGGCAAATCTGGCGCTTTCTCCGCCACTCAAAACTACCTGACTCTGGCATCAGCGCATCCTGGCGCTGAGGGTATTTCCCAGAACCAAGTCAATTAACAAGCAAAACAGGACGACAGGTAGTCTCTGGTAAAGATAAACGAGGAGATGACACTCTAGAACGTTAGTCGGTCTGTCCATTTTAGTTTTATGAAAATCTGCGTTTTAGTTAATTGAAGACAAGTGGATTAACTAAAACAAGGAAATCCTTTTTTTTCTGGCCACCAAGGATAATAAAAATTAAATTTTGAGTTTGAGCGAAAATTTCTATTGAGATGTTTATGGGTTTTTACATGGAAATTTTGCAAAAGGAAAATGTTGTCGATTTTATGAAATGAAATTATTGAAAGGGTTTCCTAATTTTGTACATAAGTCCTTTGGAAATCCTTCGTAAAAGGATTTATAAAGAAATGAAGGCAAAGTGATAAACTTACCTCTTAGTTTTTCGCGAGCATTTTCCAGGGTAGATTTACTGCGTGAATTTACGGTGGATTCTGGAAAGAGAGAGAGAGAGAGAGGGAAGAGGAAAAAATAATTATTAATTTGAAAAAACAAAAATAATGAAAACATTATCCTCAAAAATTAAAAATATTTTTTTTTTAAATTCAAGCCTTGTAAAGGACGATAAAAAATTATTTTTTAAAAAAATCCAAGCCCTGCGAAGGACCACAAAAATATTTTTTTTAAAAATCCAAGCCTTGTGAAGGGCAAAAAATATTTTTATTTAAAGAAATCCAAGCCTGGTGAAGGACCACAAAAATATTTTTTTTAAATCCACGCCTTGTGAAGGACCACAAAAATATATTTTTTTAAAAATCCAATGTCGATGTCCGAGAACAAATGGTACAATTCATGGTTCATTCGACGGCGATATTCACCGTCAACGCAGATCGGCTCATAGATCATTCGGAGAAACTTTCTCTCAAACACTACAAAAGCTGCCTCATCTGCTTGCGTAAGTACCCATGCTTCAAGGAAGGACCACAAAAATAATTTTTTAAAAAATCCACGCCTTGTGAAGGACCACAAAAATAATTTTTAAAAAAAAATCACGCCTTGTGAAGGACCACAAAAATAATTTTTTAAAAAATCCACGCCTTGTGAAGGACCACAAAAATAATTTTTAAAAAAAAATCACGCCTTGTGAAGGACCACAAAAATAATTTTTTAAAAAATCCACGCCTTGTGAAGGACCACAAAAATAATTTTTTTAAAAAATCCACGCCTTGTGAAGAACCACAAAAATAATTTTTTAAAAAATCCACGCCTTGTGAAGGACCACAAAAATAATTTTTTAAAAAATCCACGCCTTGTGAAGGACCACAAAAATAATTTTTTAAAAAATCCACGCCTTGTGAAGAACCACAAAAATAATTTTTTAAAAAATCCACGCCTTGTGAAGGACCACAAAAATAATTTTTTAAAAAATCCACGCCTTGTGAAGGACCACAAAAATAATTTTTTAAAAAATCCACGCCTTGTGAAGGACCACAAAAATAATTTTTTAAAAAATCCACGCCTTGTGAAGGATCATGCCTTATCAAACAATATTTTTTTAAAAAATCCAAGCCTTGTGAAGGACCACGCCTTATCAAAATTTTTTTTTTAAAAAATCCACGCCTTATCAAAAAATATTTTTTTTAAAAAATCCAAGCCTTGTGAAGGAACCCGCCTTATCAAAAAATTTTTTTTTAAAAAAATCCACGCCTTATCAAAAAATATTTTTTTAAAAAATCCAAGCCTTGTGAAGGACCACGCCTTATCAAAATAATATTTTTTTTTAAAAAATCCACGACTTATGTTGACTTGAAAAAATATTTTTTAAAAAATCCACGCCTTGTGAAGAACGGACCACGCCTTATGTTGACTTGAAAAAATATTTTTTAAAAAATCCACGCCTTGTGAAGAACGGACCACGCCTTATGTTGACTTGAAAAAATATTTTTTAAAAAATCCACGCCTTGTGAAGAACGGACCACGCCTTATGTTGACTTGAAAAAATATTTTTTAAAAAATCCACGCCTTGTGAAGGACGGACCACGCCTTATGTTGACTTCAAAAAAATATTTTTTAAAAAATCCACGCCTTGTGAAGGACGGACCACGCCTTATGTTGACTTCAAAAAAATATTTTTTAAAAAATCCACGCCTTGTGATGGACGGACCACGCCTTATGTTGACTTGAAAAAAATATTTTTTTAAAAAATCCACGCCTTGTGAAGGACCACGCCTTATGTTGACTTGAAAAAAATATTTTTTTAAAAAGCCACGCCTTGTGAAGGACCACGCCTTATGTTGACTTCAAAAAAAATATTTTTTAAAAAATCCACGCCTTGTGAAGGACGGACCACGTCTTATGTTGACTTCAAAAAAATATTTTTTAAAAAATCCACGCCTTGTGAAGGACGGACCACGCCTTATGTTGACTTCAAAAAAATATTTTTTAAAAAATCCACGCCTTGTGAATGACGGACCACGCCTTATGTTGACTTCAAAAAATACTTTTTTTTTTAAATCCACGCCTTGTGAAGGGACCACGCTTTATGTTGACTTGAAAAAAATATTTTTAAAAAATCCACGCCTTGTAAAGGACCACGCCTTATGTTGACTTCAAAAAATACTTTTTTTTTTAATCCACGCCTTGTGAAGGACCACGCTTTATGTTGACTTGAAAAAAATATTTTTAAAAAATAAACGCCTTGTGAAAGTTCAAAAAATATTTTTTTTTAAAAATTCACGCTTTTTCTAGGACTTCAATTTTTTTTAAATCCACGTCTTATGTTAACTTAAAAAAATATTTTTTTTAAATCTACGCCTTATGTTGACTTCAAAAAATATTTTTTAAAAAATCCTAATATGTTTAAAAAATTTTATTTCCTCGAAATTTAATTAAATCACTTTCAAAAATGTTGATTTTCAATTCCAAGAATTTCAATTAAAATTTCGGCAGCACTAGAAAACGAAATTTATAAGTAGTTTCTCAAAAAAAGTATTTTTTGGTACAGAAACAAATCATGTTCATGTCTGCCTCAGTCGACATCAAGAATTTCTCGTGATAAACTTTTGGCAAAGCATTTGTAGGCGATTTATTTGTTGTGAAGACGTTGAAAGGGCGAGGAGGGACTGATTAAGAAGGAAATATTTCATGACAGCGGAAAATTGTTTGGTTTCGCTTTTTTGACAATGCGAAAGAAAGTCGTCTTCATCGTCTGACGACTACATTTCGTGGAAAATTATAGTGAAAAAAATGCGGCGTGCGAAAAAAAATTCTGTAAAGGAATTTTTTTGTATTTTTTTTTTTAATTTTTTGTTGCCAAAATAATAACAACAAATAAAAAATATGTCAATCAACCAAAATGAAAACGAGAATGATGATGTTCATCGTGTTTTCGGATTCTGTTTTTTTATTTGTCTTAGATTTTGATTTCATTGTGTGAATCAAAATGAGAACAGCAACAACAACCAAAAAGTAATGTCAAAGTCATTGGGTGGGCGTTATTTCATGGTATTCTAGCTATGTGTGTGGACTTTGATTTGAAAATTATTTATTAAAAAAAAAATGAAAAAATATAGGTTAAAATAAAAAAGATTTTTTAAAAATCCACGCCTTGTTGGGACTTCAAAAAATATTTTTTAAAAAATCCACGCCTTGTTGGGACTTCAAAAAATATTTTTCAAAAAAATCTTACTTACTTACATAGCTGGCTTGTGACAGAACTTTTGTTCCATAAGCCGAGCTTAGAAAAGATTTCCAGGCGCGTCGGTCTTTTGCGCAGATTTTCCAATTTGAAAGACCATTTCCGGCAATGTTGTCTTCGACTTGATCGATCTTTCCATCGTATTCGTGGCCTTTCCCTTCTGCATGAACCATCAGCTGGTTCGCTTTTATATGCCTTCTGGGCTGGGACATCTTTATCCATTCTCACATGCCATGACCTAGCCAATGTAGTCGCTGCAGCCCATATACGTCTAACAATGTCGATGTCCGAGAATAGCTGGTACAACTCATGGCGGCGATATTCACCGTCAACGTAGATCGGCACATAGATTTTTCGGAGAATTTTTCTCACAAACACTCCAAGAGCTGCCTCATCTGCTAGCGCAAGTACCCATGCTTCAGATCCATATAACAGCACGGGTAGTATCATCGTCTTGTAGAGTGTGAGTTTGGTCTGGCGGGAGGTAGCCTTGCTTTTGAGTTGTTTGCTCAGACCATAGTAGCATCGGTTGGCCATCACTATCCTTCTCCCAATTTCAAAACTGATGTCATTTGTTTTATTTATGGCGGTATTAAGGGATATAAAATCTTTGACTACCTCGAAGCTGTAGTTTTCAAGTACCACAGTTGGTTCGAGTCTACTGGACGTCTTGCGAATTGATACCATCAGCTTGGTCTTCTCGCCGTTTACAGCCAGACCCACTTTGGCAGACTCCTTCTCAATTTGTTCAAAGGTGGCTGTTACCGCTCTCAATGTTCGACCCATTATGCCGATGTCATCGGTGTAGGCGAGTAACTGGTGTTGTTTGGTGTACAGAGTACCATTTCTGTTCACTTTTGCTTCTCGTATGACCTTTTCCAGCAGGATGTTAAAAAGTTTGATTCATGTTTGTTGAAACAAAAATTTAATTGTTTGTCCCCTAGGGCTATTGGTGTCTGGGATGGAACCGCCCTGTAGCTGGCTCCTGAACTAGTGACCGCAGTAACACCATAGTGCCGAAGTAGGCGACAAACTGTCACCTTGTCTAAATCCTCGTTCGGTATTAAAGGGCTCCGAGAGGTCCTTTCCGACTTTAACTGCTCATCTTGTGCCTGTTAATGTTATCCTGCATAGCCGAATAAATTTTGCAGGAATGCCAAACGCAGACATGGCTTTATACACCTCTGAACGGATAAGGCTGTCGAATGCGGCTTTATAGTCGACAAATAGGTGGAATGTGTCCATGTGTTTTTCGTAGACTTTTCCAGAATTTGGCGCAGAGTGAAAATCTGGTCAATGGTGGATTTGCCAGGTCTGAAGCCACATTGGTATGGTCCAATAATGTCGTTGACCATTGGCTTCAATCGTTCACACAGCACACTAGATAGCACTTTATATGCTATGGGAAGGAGATTTATTCCTCTATAGTTGGCACAAATCGTCTTGTCTCCTTTTTTGTGCACGGGACACAGGATGCTGAGGTTCCAATCATTGGGCATGCTTTCCTCTAGACAAATTGTACTAATCAGCTAGTGCATTCTTCTTACCAGCATCTGACCACCAGTCTTGAATAGTTCGGCTGGTAATCCATCGGCTCTTCAGCCGAATATTTGCTATTACGACATCATCTTGGCTAGGTGGTATACACGCTATACCGTCATCTATTATTGGTTCTGGGGTATCCTCTTCACCGCTACTATTTGATACCAGAAGTTTTTCAAAATGCTCCTTCCAGATACTCAGCACGCGGTCTGTATCTGTCACCAGGTTTCCTTTTTCATCTCTACAGGAGGATGTGCCTGCACCAAAGCCTTCGGTTTGGTGTTTTACCCCATGGTAGAATTTTCGGACTTTATTCTGACTCCTGTTTTTGTTGTAGTTTGTAGGGAGTGGGCAATTCTCTGCCACTGTGCTTCTATAGGTCCCTAAAAATATGTTTTCAAAAATCTACGCCTTCTGTAGGCCCCCAAAAATATGTTTTCAATCCGCGTTTTCCGTAGGTTCCCAGAAATATTTTTTTACAATTTCCACGCCTTTTGTATGTCCCTAAAAATATCTTTAAAAAAATCTACGCCTTGTGTGAATCCACATCATCTGTAGCTTCCAAAAAATATTTTTTTTAAATCCACTGTTTAGCTCAGAGGGGCTCCGCCAATGGGAGTCGGTACGCCGAATGCGTCGAGCAATGGACCGTAGGGGAGGGGTGTACGTAGAGCAGTGTGCAGGAAAGTAAAAGAATTAAAAACACAAGAGGTTTCTTAATAATAAAATTCAGTGGTTTATTTGGTTGTTTGGTGGTAAACGATATTACCTTTGGCAACGATATGCCTGTGTGCAAACGATATTGCGTGGTTGTCTGTCCGACTGACAGATTGATACCCCTTGATGCTTAAAGGAGGCGGCAAAAACAAGTGACAATTATTAGTTAAAACGTCAAAAGCGCTAACCCAAGGTTGGAATAAACCGTAGCGCATACATTTTAACTAATAATTGAAGATCACAACAGTGGTCAATAAAAAGTGTTATTTTTATACAAATCTAAATTAAACATTCCGGCCCCCTTGAAACATCAAGATATGTTTTAAAACAATACAAATAATAATATGGTAAGATAGGTACAATTCGAGGATATAATTTTAAGTAATAGGTACCATATATGTATAGTGCAGCGTGAGCATTTTAATTCGAACAAAATTGGGAGTGGATCCGCAGATAAATCTGCAGTAACAGATTCGGGATCCATCTTCGCTACAACGATAATTGTTAATATAAGGCCGCAGATGAATCTGCAGTAACAGATTCGGACCTTACTTAAGCAATATTTACGTAATAGTTTATTATAAGCCGCAAATGAACCTGCAGTTACAGATTCGGGCTTCAATCGACTTTTTTATTAATGCACGACATTTAATAGTATGAAGTCGCAAATGAATCTGCAGTTACAGATTCGGACTTCAATCGAGCTATTATTTACCAGAAACGATATTCGGGGGCTGAGCCAAATAGGACGCATCAGCATTTGTCGCGATACCGTCTTTTTCTGAAGGTCGCTTTGCAACATTTTCCAATAAATTTGTATTAATATATTTGATTAAATTCTTCTTCGACATTTTATACAACGATTTTGAAGAAATAAAATCCAATTTTTGATTTTGTACATCAACCAATTTGGAGGATATATGTTTCGAAGGACGAAAAACTGGGGCTGATGCTGACAACGATTTTGTCGAGCTTGACGAAGCCGCTGGAGGTACAACCGAAATCGAATTATTCGGTTTCGTAGACTCGCGATGTAATAAAGTGTGGTGACGTTGACCACATTTCGAACAATTAGTCTTACTAGTACAATTTACTAGTTTATGCCCCTTTACTAAACAATTTATACACCGATCTTGGCGCTTTACGTATGCAAATCTATTTGCGGGGGATAATTCTTTGAATTTTTGACAAATATGTAGGTTATGGGGTTTCTCGCGAAATAGAGAACAAGATTTTCGAATTGAAGGTGGAGACGACTGTTTTGAAACAAACTTCCTAGTTGCATTTGATTTCGATTTATCCACAGTAATGGATGTATCCACGAAATTTTCTAAACACACGAGCGTGTTTATCCTTTCTGAAAGAAAGGTATCTAAATCTTTCCACGATGAAAGGGCAGATTTATTTTTGACACTTCCTTCCCATAGAGCCAGAGTTATTTTAGGCAACCTTTGTTGACAAACGAATACGAGTATTGGATCCCATTGATCCGTTGGCACATTGTATGTCAACATTGACGATATGCAGCTGTTAATGCCGCGTCGAATCTCTTTCAAGCCAGAGATAGTTTCTTTGTGGAGAAATGGGGTATTGAACAGCGACGACAATTGGCGATTTACGAAAATTCGAACATTTTCGTATTCGTGGTTTAGAGCTTTCCATGCGAGAGCGAAACCGTGATTGGTAAGTGGAAATTGCGAAACTATTTCCCTAGCTTCTCCAGTTGTCTTATGCAACAAATAGAACATACGTTCCACATCGGTCAACCTAGTATTCTTTATAAAAATGGCGCAAAACAAATCCCGAAAGGATGGCCAAGCAGATAAATCCCCATCGAAAACATCAATATCTAATGGGGGCAATTGCATATTGTGAACGATATCACAAGCGGAAGAAATGTTAGAAACGAAGGTCATATTTAAAAGAAGAAGCACCAAAATATCCGAAAAATATGCAAAAATCAATTAAATAGCAACTTTATTTTAATTTATTTAGTGTGCCGATATGTCGGGATGTAGGGTATACAAATTTGCAAACTTTAAAAAGTAACACAACAATAAAATACACGATCGTATTTTCATTAAATATTTATTTTGCAACACACCTATTACAAACAAGCTAGCTATCCAATAATACCGACCAAGGTAGTGTAGCTACTCAACCTAAACGGACACGATAGAAAAAGGAATAAACAAAAAGTATTCCTACCAACTAAATAACCAACGTAAGGTGAGTACTCGACCTATGCGGACGTAACAGAAAGAAGAATAACAAAAATATTCTTCTTTCGTTTGTTATGTTAGTTCACTGATCTAACAAAGCACAAACAACAAGTGCTGATCAGAGAATAACAACAACGCTAGAAGTGATGTAGGTGGACGGTCAAACAGTGTTGTTGTTGTTTACGACAAACAAACAAGATGTTCTGTTGTTACAACGAGAAAAGAAATAAATGTAACAACAACAATATGCAATATTATTGATGACAAACAAAACGAAATAATATTGTATATTTTGCTTTATGCAGAAAAGCAAAAGTAGGAATGTAACTTTTCAACAACAACAATGTTTGAAGGGAGAATCGACGAAACGAAATATCAAGTGTTTTGTTGTTTTATGAAACCAACCAAACAAAGAAAAGCAACGAATTTTGCGATTATGGAATTTTCGATTTTTGTTTTGATTATGATGCTGCCGAATGCAAGCATCCAAATTAGAAGCCACGATTGGCGGGAAAAACAACAAGAGGGGGTTTTATGACGTTGCAAAACGACCTTTGAACGAAACCGAGTGTTTTGTTATGGTCGCGACAATTTACTTCCGCGGGCTCACTTATATACACTGCACTATACGTACCTTTAACAAATTGTGGACTGTATATTTTTTTAAGATGAATGTATCCAAGTAATGGGCTGATGAATCCGGTTCGATTGGACCAAATGTTTAGCTCAGAGGGGCTCCGCCAATGGGAGTCGGTACGCCGAATGCGTCGAGCAATGGACCGTAGGGGAGGGGTGTACGTAGAGCAGTGTGCAGGAAAGTAAAAGAATTAAAAACACAAGATGGTTGTCTGTCCGACTGACAGATTGATACCCCTTGATGCTTAAAGGAGGCGGCAAAAACAAGTGACAATTATTAGTTAAAACGTCAAAAGCGCTAACCCAAGGTTGGAATAAACCGTAGCGCATACATTTTAACTAATAATTGAAGATCACAACAGTGGTCAATAAAAAGTGTTATTTTTATACAAATCTAAATTAAACAGGCTCCATACAATGGAACCGCTTAATCTTTACTTTACCATGTCTTACTGTGTTTTATTTGAGAAAATTTTCACAACCTATACATACCATGCAAATTGCTTCACATAACATAAATTATTTTTTCAAAATAATAAATCATGATTTTATGGAAAGTGTGAGAAAATAATAATTACTCTCACTTTTCGGCTTCTTATATAATTAAACTCTAATGAAAATATAAATTTATTTTCATATACAATAGTTTTTTCAAGTCAATGACAATCCAATTGGTCTTAGAAAATTAACATATATTTAGAATTTTCCATAAATGACAATTACTTAAAAAAGAACTACGAAGAGATGAAATCATAAAAGTTCGATATAAAATGTGTGGAAATGCTAATATCTTTCAAGATATATTTTGCAACATTTTCGCGGATTTTTCTCAAAAGGTTCTTTCATTAAAACCTTTCCACTTCAATTACAGACTACTAACAGAAACTTTAAGTCAAATCGGTCCAGCCGTATCTTCAAATTAATTTTTGCCAGATTTTCGCGGATTTTTCTATTTTTTTTTCATAAAAACATTCCCACTGTAATTACCGACAACTGAAAGAAACTTTGAGTCAAATCGGTTCAGCCGTTCTCAATTGATGAGTTAGTATACATTTTTTGGCACCAATTTTGTATATATAGATTTATGTTTTTATCACTTAATTTTTTTTGCATTTTTGGCAGGAACTGATATTAATTATTGTTTTAACTTATTATACCTTACAAGAATATATTTTTCGAATATTTACAGACGATGGAATGGACGAAGGCTTTATTTTGTGTGTTTTACTCTAGTCGTTATAGAGGCCACAATTATAAGTGGGCAGAATGATGCATCTGTATTGAACATTTTTACGAAGAGATTTTTTTATGCAATAGAGATCCGGAATACAATATTTTAAAAATGTGGACATTTAGGGCGATATCATGAAATATATTGAAAATAACCTACAAAGACTTTTTTACAATTAAATTACTCGGAATTCCAAACTACAGCCGATTCGGTGGCTAAATCCCTCTAAATACTGAGAATGGCAGTTCCTTTATAAACATCGACATGTATTCATAATTGCCTGCAAATATATTTTTCACCCTTCAAGTACTTGCTACTCTAAACTACTTTGAAATTTCCCTAACTATGAACATGACTGACTACAAATGTATAAATGCTTCAATAGTTCCGCAGCTACGTTAAATAGATCCAGCAATAACAACCATTCATATTATAAGTGTATCGGTATTTGAAAACTTTATCAACACGTCGAAAATATTATTTATATTTTCTAAAGATATATGGGAAATATGGCATCATGTTACTAAATTAGAGCAAATGTTTTCAAGAAACATTTGGGCGGAAATAAAACAAATTAAATTAAATTTGTGTAATACCGCTATATAGAAGATATCTCAAAACTTCACCAGATATCTCAAAACTTCACCTTTTGAGGATGACGAAGATTCTGAATCCTTTTTATTTTATTTTAATTTTTTTTTTTATTTTTTGTCGTAGTCGAAAATTATTTCTTGTAAAGTTTGTTCAGACATTATTTGTAGTTGATGGGTACATTTGTTGATGGTATGATCGTTATAAATTCAAATCATCGGTTTTCATCGGGTTGGCAAAAAAAATCATTGAGGCACAAACAATTTGTATAAGTTATAGGTCGCTCACTTCTGTCGATGCTACTCTGCTTGTTGCAGTAAGAGGACACTAATTCGGGTAAAACTGGTAAAGTTATACACTGTTAAAAGCAAAATACAAATTAAAAAGCTTTAAAGCAAAATTTAATTGAAACTCAACTGTTCTCACATATATTTAAAGATTATTGAAAATTAAACTCAAATTTTAAAAGCATTGATGAATAAATCTAATTTCTTCATTAATTTCCATACCATGATTAAATCAAATTAAGCCTCGGGGAA